TGGCCACGTGGTCCGCCTGTGGCCATGGAGACACAAAGGATGTCTGCCGGAAGTTTTCTGATAAAGCAGGGGGAGGCCTCATGTCCACCCCACCTCCCCTCTCCTGGCCCTGAATGCAGACGCCTCGAGCTGGGAGACAGGATGCCGAAGGGCCGAGTGAGAGGAAATAAAGCCTCCATCGTTGCCAATATCACTGAGCAGCGGAACCAGCTCCACCCAATGCTCCCAACTGCACTCACTCTGAGAAAAACTTATAGTGGTAATTTTTAAAATATATTTTACTTATTTTTTTACAGAGAGGAAGGGAGAGAGATAGAGAGCTAGAAACATCAATGAGAGAGAAACATCGACCAGCTGCCTCCTGCACACCCCCTACTGGGGATGTGCCCTGCAATCAAGATACATGCCCTTGACCGGAATTGAACCTGGGACCCTTCAGTCCGCAGGCCGACGCTCTATCCACTGAGCCAGGCCGGTCAGGGCTAGAGTGGTAATTTATTTAAGACAGGGAGAGTCAGGTGTCTGGGAAAGCTGCGTAGATGACCGGTGCCTGCTCATCTGGGAAAACCGGGGGAAAGGCAGGAGAAACACAGAGGCGGCATGGCAGGCACCAAAGGAAGCAATTCCGTAACAAGACGCCCAGTGCACCCGGGGCTGATGGCAGCTCTGACGACATCAGATACGAGGACGTTCACCAGCAAACGTTAACACACAGAGCCCTGGTGACCACTGGCATTCTACGGGAATCGAAGACCCGAACAGGTCAAGACATCCCCTGGCCAGATGGGTGTAAACGGGAGCCTCATCTCCGGGCACCCTGCCGAGAGCCTGTGTTACTGCCACACCCCCTTTCAAAACCGCAGATAAGAACGCGTTCACGGAAACCCAGACGTTCAAGCGAAGACATTTATACACAGTAACCTCCCTTCTCTCTCAGCGACAGAGGTGTCCACGAACGCCGAGGCTCACGGGGAGACCTCCTTAGAGTCTGTATGACTTTTTTGTTGTTGTTTTTAGCCATTCACGAGGAAACCGACGCGGAAAAGCAATTCAGGGAGCTGCCTGCTGATCAGCTGCTTGACGGTTCCTAACCTTTAAACGGGAGTGTGCCGCCGATGTAGCAAGCGCCTCTGCCTAAGATCCGGGGCCAGCAGTGGAGGGCGGAGGGGGCAGGGGCGTGGAGACACTCAGTCGCACACGTGCTCGCTCACCATCCCGGGAAAGCAGGGGGAGGTCCCGGGAGAAGGCCTTCGCCGTAGCTGGGGACGCAGAAGCGATGGCATCGCCTGCACATGATTTATGGCCGTGGAGACCGCTGCTGACGGCGCTGCGGAGGACGTCAGAGATCACCTTGAAGGGAGGACGGAGGACCGTGTGGGGAGTCAGAGGACACGGGATCCCGCTCAGTCTTGAAAGAGGCACTGAAACCTGCAGGTGGGCAAAGGAAGCATTAAAAAAAATTATATATATAATTGATTTTTTACAGAGAGGGAGAGGGATAGAGAATTAGAAACATCGATGAGAGAGAATCATCAACCAGCTGCCTCTTGCACACCCTCACCTGGGGATGTGCCCGCAACCAAGGTACATGCCCTTGACCAGATTCGAACCTGGGACCTTTCAGTCTGCAGGTTGACGCTCCATCCACTGAGCCAACCTGGTTTTGGCAAAGGAAGCATTTTAACAGCCTCTTGGAAGGGCTGGTCCTGTTCCCTGTCCTACCTTGTTGTTGTTGTTGTTGTTGTTAAGGTGAGAAACCCTCCAGGGCCATGAGTGATTGGGGGGGAGGGGGTGATGGTAGAGGAACACTGGGCGTTCCAAAGAAACTGGCAGCCAAAACCGGTTTGGCTCAGTGGTAGAGCGTCAGTCTGCAGACTGAATAGTCCCAGGTTCGATTCCGGTCAAGGGCATGTACATTGGTTGCGGGCACATCCCCGGTTGGGGTTGTGCAAGAGGCAGCTGGTCGATGTTTCTCTCTCATCGACGTTTCTAGCTCTCTATTCCTCTCCCTTCCTCTCTGTAAAAAAATTAATAAAAATATATTTAAAAATCCCGTTTTAAAAAAAAGAAACTGGCAGCCAGAAGGTGGAGCTCACCCAAGCGCCCACCAACATGAACACTCACCGAAGGCGGTCTGCAGCCTCCGAAGAGGGGGAGGCCCTGACAACACGGTACGTTCTACAGGTGGCCAGGTCTGACGTGATGCTGGTGAAATGAGCCCGTCATACAGGAAAGCTCTGTAGCGTTCCACTCCCGCGACGTGCCTACACCGTCAAATTCACACTCAGAGATGCAGAACGGGGGTGGCCGGGGGCTGGGGGAGAGGGAGTGGGCGTTAGGGTTCAGGGCTCAGGGCCTCAGTTTTGTGAGTGAAAGGAGATCTGGAGATGGGTGGTGGTGATGGCTGAAGGACAGTGTGCATGTACCCAACACCACACTTAGAAATGGTTCAAGTTAAGATGCGACGTGTATTTTACCACATTAGAAACATACCAGAGGCCCGGTGCATGACATTCAAGCACTTGGGGGGGAGGGTCCCTCAGCCTGGCCTGAGCCCTATTGCAGTCTGGGAGTTCTCAGGGAATGTCTGACTGATGGCTTAGGGAAGGGGTAGGTGGAGGGGGAGGGAGCAGGCCTGAGCCAGCAGTGAGACGTCCTTAGTGCTGCTGTGGCGGTAAGAGAGGCTCCTGCCACCGCCACTGTGCTCGCCAGCCATGAGCCCTGCTCCTGGCTAAGCAGGAGCATTGAGCGTCTGCCCCCTGGTGGTCAGTGCGTGTCATAGCGACCAGTTGTTCTGCCGTTGGGTCGATTTGCATATTAGTGTTTTATTGTATAGGAGGATACATTTAAAAACAGAGAGCGAGCGAGCGAGAGAATAGCAGGAGGAAAGCCAAGACACAGACTGGGGTTCAAGAAGGAGCTCAGAGCTCCAGAGGCAAGATGGCAGTTGGGTGTCAAAAATAAGGGTGACCCTTCGTCGGGCCCCAGTCCTGGGAGACCCATGGCTTCACTCGTTATTCCACGACCGAGCGGTACGCAGGGCACACCACCCCTCCTCCAACTCTTTTAATTTATCGAAGACTTTTTAAACCTTTTTAAAAAATCTTTGACCTTGGCAATGAGTAATGGCTGGGCGCCTGCAGACACTCACTTCTTTTTTTTAATTTAATAAATCTTTATTGTTCAGATTATTACAGCTGTTCCTCTTTTTTCCCCCTAGCTCCCCTCCACCTGGTTCCCACCCCACTCTCTGCCCTTACCTCCCACATACACTGTCCTCATCCATAGGTGTACCATTTTTGCCCAGTCTCTTCCCTCACACCCACACCCCTCCCCAGCCAAGGACACTCACTTCCTTCCCCTGCCTCCCCACGGGCCACACGAACGGCAGACAGCCTGGTCCCCGAGAAAGTGCAGGGCCGGCCTCGTCTGCAGGGCCTGGGGGGGGAGCCACTGGCAGAGGAAAGAGGCTGGGAGAGGGGGCTTGGTTTGGGGCTCCTGGACCCAATGTCCACGCTGAGGAGGGGATGACTTCACCCCTCAATGCCGAGTGTGTCTCAGGCTGCCCGCTGGGCTGCCTCCAGGCTGCCCCGTTCTGACTGGGCTCCCTGAGAGCCGGGCCCGGGAGCGGCGTCAGAGAGCCTTCCCCTCGGCCCCCGTCTGGTCCGTGAAGCAGCGTGGCCGCCTGCCAGCCCCGGGCAGCATGCAGCGTCCTGTCTCACTGTCCCCCGAGCATTAGAACATGTGTAACGTGCTTCGCAGACGACACAGAGACGACGGGCACGGAGAACCAGGCACACAATTACAAGATAAAAATGAGCATCCTTCGCCGGGGTAGGCTTTAATAAGATTTTAATAACGTTGGTAAGGAGCCAACTTACAAAAACGCTCCCGAATACGGGGTACAAAACCTCAGAGACAAAATAAAAACTCGTAAAAATGTAAGAGCCCTCTAACACCAGGCATCAGCTTCAGGAGAAAGAAATGCTTTCTCCACAAAGGGGCCGACGGAACACGTTCAATGAAAACGGAGTGGGTTAGAGACAGGTGTCCAGCCAGCCCCCCGCCCCCGCCCCCCCCCCCCCCCCCCCAGTGACAGGAAGGTGCTATTAGTGTCCGGGGAGGAGGGCCTGAGCCAGGGGGGCACCAGATCTGGTGAAAACCGCCCGGAGGCCCCCGGGTCTCCGCACATCTCACTCACAGGTTAGGAATCACTCCGAGGCTGTGGAGTGGCCTTGGAAGTGGCCTTGGAAGTGACCTTGGGGATGACCTTGGGGATGACCTTGGGAATGCCCCTGGGAGTAGCCTTGGGAATGGCCCTGGGATGACCGTGACGGCCGCCCATCCACACAGTCCCCGTCCCGCAGCAGGATGTGGCCTCGGGGGCGACAAGATGAGCTGTCTGCTCGGGAACGAGGATGTGATGTGTGGCCAGCAAACCAAAAAGGAGAGCAGACACACAGGAGTCAGAGAAAACCACCGAGGCACCGGAGCCCCGCCCCCGAGGGACAGGAGGCCACTCCCTGGGGGACAGGACAGCGAGCGGAGGACGGGTCCGGAACTCGGCTCCGCCGCCACCACAGGACAGCGCCGCCTCTCAGCTCAGTGCCGCTGCTGCGCGGCCTCCGTGTCCCCACGGGCACCCCGCCTCCTGCTTCCTGTGGGCCGGAGGCTCCCACCGGCTGCGGCTCCTCCCGCGGGGCCACGGCGGCTGCGTGTCCGCCGAGCACAGGCCGTGCGGTGGGTGACAGCACCCAGCAAACCAGCACCCACAGGGGCAGGCCCCCGCGCCGGCCCCTCCCGACGGGCGGGCACAGGCCCGTTATCTTCACCCTAAACCAGCGGCTTCACCAGACGCAGGTTCCTGCGAGGAGAGGCGGGAGAGAGGCTCTGTGTGCTTCAGACGTGGGCGCCGGAGGCTGCGTGTGACTCCAGGTGAGGGCGCTCCGGGTCCGCGGAGGAGGGGATCCCCATCTCGGGGCGGCTCCGTGGGATGGGACTCACGGCAGCTTCTGGCTGGGCCTGCCGTTGATGGAATCAAAGTCAATGACGATCTTGCTGCACTTGGGTGTGAATTTCCTAAAGGGAAGAAACAGAACATGTAACGGAAGAGATAAACCAGGAACCCGGGTACCTCCAGGCACAGCCCGCGGACACGGACATGGGCTGCAGGGTGGCGAAGCCTGGGGGGGGAGGGGCTGGGGGGAGGGGTGTAAGGGGTGGGGGGCATGGAAGATACTGTGATATTATCAGCAATAAAAAAACTATATATAATGGCATTATCCAGTGAGTAGGTAATGTTACCTGTTAGGTTTGGCTTAACCCACATTTTGGGGGGAAAATATTTTTCTAAAAAGCACAACTATTAGCCAGATCGGCTTCAACTACCTCTGTCCCCGCTCTTACAGACCCGGCCCTGAAACACAGCGAGAGGCCCAGCCCGCCGCCCGGAAAAGAGGCGCCAAGGTGGAAGGGTCAGGCATCACAGGCAGAAACGAAGCACGGGTCCAGGTCACCCCATTTCCCATCGGGCCTCAGGCCACCCCGTGTCCCATCAGGCCTCAGGCCACCCCATTTCCCATCAGGCCTCAGGTCACCCCGTCCCCATCAGGCCTCAGGTCACCCCATTTCCCATCAGGCCTCAGGTCACCCCGTCCCCATCGGGCCTCGGGCCACCCCGTGTCCCATCGGGCCCAGGCCCTCACTCACCGGAAGGCCACCCCGGCCATGTCGAACATGAGCCTGGCGGCGGTGGTCTCCTCGCTGTCGTGGTACTTATCCGACATGAAGATGACTTCTCTGATACCTTCGACGGCAACAAGGCAGGAGCCGTCAGGACAGGCTCAGCGACGCCGCCCGGACAGAGCCTGCCCCGGCCGTGTGGGTGCCAGCGTCTCCGATGAGCAAAGCTCGCACCCACGCAACAGCGGGTCTGCGAGGAGCCGCCTCCCGAGGGCGTCCACACCCGCCTGGGCTGTGACCAGGGGCCGCTCCGTCCAGCAGACAGGCGAGTGGAATCCGCCCTCGGGCTCTATGGATTTTCTTTTTTTAACAAATGCAAAGTGAAAACATGTCAAGCCCTCAAGCCTCCATCCAATTAACAAATTTCCAAGTTTCCTTTAGTTTTAATTTTTTTTTTTTTACAGAGAGGAAGGGAGAGGGATAGAGTTAGAAACATCGATCAGCTGCCTCCCACCGGGGATGTGCCTGTCACCAAGGTACATGCCCTTGACCGGAATCGAACCCGGGTTCCTTCAGTCCGCAGACCGACACTCTACCACTGAGCCATACCGGCTTCGATCAGACATTCTTTCCTTTGAGGCAATTACCGTTGATCTCCAGAGGCCCGTGGCGGGCAGGAGCGTGCTGGCAGAATCGGAGGGACCAGACCTTCCCTCGGCAGAGGCACACGGAGCGGCGTGGACCGGCTGCTCTCCCGTCTCACCGGCAGCCTGACCTCAGGCAGGGGCCCGGCCGCACGCCCCGCACCGCTCCGCAGGGACAGCGGGGGCTGGCCTCCCCGGGCACGCGCGGCTCTGCCCACCCTGCACCCCAGTGCTCGTGCCCCTGAGGACCTTCCCACGCCCACGGGGGAGCCACAGAGACTCCGGCTCTGACCCCGCTCACGCCCTCTGCTCACAGACCCACGGCTCGTGACAAAGAGCCCTCCAAGCTGCACATCCCACCCACACGGCGAGTCTATAAATCTCACGCGGGGAGTTTTATGGAGACAGGGTGGGTGAATCATAGACGTGATGATCTGGAAAAGGGGGAATGCTCAGAACACAAAGCTGTGGCTTTGAGGTGAGAAAATCTTAACACGCTGCCACTGGAGTCAGGGCATGAAAACGCAGAGCTATGGTTAGGCCCTCACATGCCTGCCCTGCAATAGCCACAAACTAAAATCTCACAGACAGCCTCCCCGCTGACCTTACAGCCGGCCGAAACTCATTTCTCAACCTCCCTCTCCCTAACCCCCCCACCTCCGTAAGCTATGCATGATAATCCAGAGGGCAGACAACTGACAGGAACGATACGCAAAGCCCATGTTGCGTTTCGGCAGCTTGCAGCTTAAGAAGATGCAGACAAAGCCGAATCCGGTTTGGCTCAGTGGATGGAGCGTCGGCCTGCGGACTGAAAGGTCCAGGTTCGATTCCGGTCAAGGGCATGTACCTTGGTTGCGGGCACATCCCCAGTAGGGGGTGTGCAGGAGGCAGCTGGTCCATGTTTCTCTCTCATCGATGTTTCTAATTTTCTATCCCTCTCCCTTCCTCTCTGTAAAAAAAAAAAAAAAAAAATCAATAAAATATATATATTTTTTTAAAGTTGCAGATGAAATTAGAAGCGTGTTAAGAATCACCGAGGATGCGGTTAGCGGCAGAATGCCTGGCACCGTTCAGAGACAAAACACGGGAAGCATCCTGCAGTTAACTTAGACCCAAACCTCAGGGTGCCAGCTCACACCCGTCTGCGGGGGGCGGCGAGGGGCAGCGAGGGCAGGAGGAGAGGGCGGCCAAGAGGGCGGGCCGCGGGCAGGCCTGGCAGGGGCGCCCCGCCTACCTGCCTGGATGATGAGCTTGGCGCACTCGTTGCACGGGAACAGGGCCACGTAGATGGTGCAGCCCTTCACGTCGGCGGAGTTCTTGTTCATGATGGCGTTCAGCTCGGCGTGGCACACTGCGGGCGGGCGGGAGGGCAGAGGAACGCTGAGATCGGGCTCAGGAGGAACGCACGCAGAGGGCTGGAGCGTTCCTCTCCGCCCTCCGAAACAACACGTAACAGACTCGATTTAAAAATAATAATAATTAGAACTGGAAGCGCTGAGGACGCCAGCGAAGGCCCGATGGGTAGGCGATTGGAGCAGCCCAGGCTCTCCAGAGCCGCCAGGAGGGGCGGGGGCGGGCACCTCCCACACCCACGTGCAGCCACAAGGCCCTGGGGCGTGGAACCGCCCACACAAAACGGCTCACGTGTGCGCTGACATGCACACGCAGGGAGGTGCTTTCTCTGTGGCCACTGCGAGGGCAGGAGCAATGGTTAGAGCAAGAGAATCAGGAAGTGGAGCCGAGCATTCCTGGCCTGCGGGATCTGCGTGGCCTCCTGGCTCCCTCCGGCCCACACGCACACCCTTGTGGGTGCCAAGTAGCTTGTTAGGAAAAACATGCATCCACTTAATGGCAACGAAAAGTCAAGTTTGTGCCGAAACCGGTGTGGCTCAGTGGATAGAGCGTCGGTCTGCGGACTGAAGGGTCCCGGGTTCGATTCCGGTCAGGGGCATGTACATTGGTTGCGGGCACATCCCCGGTGGAGGGTGTGCAAGGGGCAGCTGGTCGATGTTTCTCTCTCATCCACGTTTCTAGCTCTCTATCCCTCTCCCTTCCTCTCTGTAAAGAATCAATAAAAAAATAAAATAAAAAGTCAAGTTTGTTTGTGGTAGTTTTTTTTTTTTTTTTTTTACTGATTTCAGAGAGGAAGGGGGAGAGAGAGAGAGAGAGAGAAACATCAATGAGGAGAATCATTGATCAGCTGCCTCCTGCAGGCCCCACACTGGGGATGGAGCCCATAACCCGGGCCTGTGCCCTGACCGGCACATCATTGATCTTTCTCTCCCTCCCTCCCTCTCCTTTCTTCTCTGAAATCAGTACAAATAAGAAAACTAAGTTCGTGGAGTGCCCACGCACACTCTATTTCTCTGGATCACCCGTACCTTTAACTTGAGAGGTGCCACCCGCTGCCACCTTCCCGGGACTCCCTGGGCTCCCCACACCCTGTCTGATGAACCCTGGCTCCCAAGCCTGCATTTATGGGGCTGAGAGAAACCCCACAACCCCAGGCAACACGACACCTCACCAGGCCCCGCCCGCCCGGGGCCTGGCCTGCTGTCTGCCCGGATCCTGGCACGGGCCTCCCAGGGGTACGACCCCACAGCCCCTGTGGCTTTGACCCTCAGCGTCCCCGAAAACCTGCCCTGCATTCCCCTTCAGAACGGACCCACCGGAAGGCGTCCCCGTGCCTGCCGCCCATCTCCCCGAGAACGAACCCGAGGGGCCGGGCGTTACTGATCCCAAGGACCCTCTGCCCAGGGCCCCGGACGCCTGCCCTCCCTGAGGACCCGGACAGAAGCCTGAGCCTCACCCGTGTGCTCACGTAGGTCCGTCAGGGTGCAGTGTGGGCACTCACTCAGCCGGCTGGCCCTCGTAACTGAGCCACGAGCGGGCACTGCCAATCGGCGGCAGGCCACGAGCACCCGGCAGGGCCTGCCCCACCTTCCCGTCCTCCACCTGCACCCGAGCAGCCCGAGGCGCACGCCCTGAAGCCTGTGACCCCGACCAGCGGCACCCCCGCGCCTTCGGTTTGCAGGGATCGCCGGCTCCCGGAAGGGCCTGTCCACTGAGTGAAAGCAGCTTAAAGATGCTGCGCAACCGGTTCTCACCTTCTCGCCAACGCGCCCAGCTCCCTTCCGGCGCCTCCCAGAACAGCGGTCTGCCCGGGACAGGCTCTGCCCGCGGCACAGGACCGCCCTCCCACGGCCGAGGCCAAGCCTCCGGACCCTGCGGCCCCGAAAACCGCCACCGGCTCTGGAACAGCGCTGCCCCCGCTTAGGGAGCGGCAAACAGCACTTCCCTCTTCAGCGCCCAGACTAGAGCGCCCCCACATGGCGAGGTTAGGTACTGCGCCCACAACCTCCGTGTGTGTTGTGTAGGGGTGTGTGTGGGGGTGTTGTGTATGTGTGGAGTGTGTGGTGTGTGAGAATGTGTGTTTGGTGTGTGTGTCATGTGTGTGGTATGTGTTGTGTGTGTGGTGTGTATACTGTGTGTGTGGCATGTGTGTGATGTGCGAGAATGTGTGTTTGATGCGTATGGTATGTGTTGTATGTGTAGTGTGTTGTGTGTGTGGCATGTATACTGTATATGTTGGCATGTGTGTGGTGTGTGCGATGTGTGGTGTGGTGTGTGTGCGGCATGTGTGTGGCATGTGAGAATGTGTTTGGTGTGCATGTATGTGTTGTGTGTGTAGTATGTGTTGTGTGTGGTGTGTATAGTGGTATGTGGTGTGTGTGTGGCATGTGTGTGGCGTGTGTGTGTGATGTGTGTGGTATGTGTTGTTTTGTGTGATGGTGTGTGTGTGATGTGTGTGGTGTGGTTTGTGTGTGTGTTTGGTGTGTATGTGATGTCTATGATATGTGTTGTGTGTGTCGTGTGTGTGTGATGGTGTGTGTGTAATGGTGTGTGTGCTGGTGTGTGTGTGATAGTGTGTGTGGTGTGTGGTGTGTGTGTGGTGGTGTGTGTGGTGTGTGGTGTGTGATGGTGTGTGTGTGTGTGATGGTGTGTGTATGTGTGTGTGTGATGGTGTGTGTGTGATGGTGTGTGTGTAATGGTGTGTGGTGTGTGTGTGTGTGTGATGGTGTGTGTGTGTGTGTGTGTAATGGTGTGGTGTGTGTGTGTGTGTGTGGTGTGTGTGTGTGTGATGGTGTATGTGTGTGTGATGTCTGTGTGGTGTGTGTGTGTGATGGTGTGTGTGGTGTGTGTGTGTGATGGTGTGTGTGTGTGAGTGTGTGTGTGTGTGTGATGGTGTGTGTGTGTGTGATGGTGTGTGTGTGTGTGATGGTGTGTGTGTGTGTGGTGTGTGTGTGTGGTGTGTGTGTGTGATGGTGTGTGTGTGTGATGGTGTGTGGTGTGTGTGTGTTTTGTCCCGTGTTTTTGCAGGACAGCTGTCTGTCCCCATGGAAAAGTTTCAGAAACTCTGCTCTAGGGAGTCCGCTGGCCTCGGGACCGTGCGAGTGATGTTTACAACCAATTGTTCTCTCCGGACAGCCCTAAGCTGTAGCGCCCGCCGTTCCACACCGCCGCCGCTGGTCCCACGCGGGCGGCAGGGCCTGGAGGAGATGCGCCCGGCGGCGGCGGCGGCGGCCCTGCCCCCCGCCTGCTCTCGCCTGACCCCGCCTCCCGGCTGCGCCGGCGCCTGCTCCCAGCCCTCGCTCGGTGCTCCCTCAGGAGGCCGGGCCTGTGGGCCCACTTCCCGTGGGGCCTCTGCTCTCTCTCCACTTTCTGGGCACGTCCCCACCTTCAGCCCCTTCACCGCGTCCATCCCAGGTTCTCGGCGAGCAGGCCGAGTGGTGAAACCCCGAATCTACATCTCTAACCCCAATTCCCCGCTTCTCCTCAGGCCTCCTCCCCGGTGGCCCGAGCCCTCCCCGTCACTTCTCACCGCGGCACACACTCCACAGCGACCTTCGAGCGAGATGGAGCGTGAACACATCGCTCTCTGGTGCTGGCATTCCGATCGCCGTGAGATCGAGGCGGCGAGAGCTCCGCGTAGATGAGTGCGAGGACCAACCCAGGAGAAGGGCCTCTTAGGCAACTTGAGAACGTCCTAGTTTTATAGTCATAGGAATAAAGACTCAGGCCCCGGAGGGAGTGTCTAGGACGTAATTCATAAGATAGCTAAAAAAAAAAAAAGGCAAATTTTCCAACTACTCATCGATGGCTAGGCAATAAGCAAAAGAACTCCCCAAGCCCTATCCGGTGTGGCTCAGTGGATAGAGCATGAGCCTGCGGACTGAAGGGTCCCGGGTTCGATTCCGGGCAAGGGCATGTACCTTGGTTGCGGACACATCCCCAGTGGGGGGTGTGCACGAGGCAGCTGGTCGATGTTTCTCTCTCATCGATGTTTCTAACTCTCTACCTCTCCCTTTCCTCTCTGTAAAAAATCTATAAAATATATTTAATAATAAAAAAAGGACTCCCTGAACTCGTGTATTTGCTAAGCACCAGGAGCCTCACAAACCCTGCGATTCTTCTCCACGCTGCTGGGAGGAGAGCGCCAAACACTGAGCACTCCGGGTCAGCCCTCCGAGTCCTCCCCTGCCGGGGCGGGCCTCTGCGCAGGCAGCTACCGGACAGCCCCTCTTCGGTCCCCTTCTTCCCCTTTCCTATCGCCAACGGTCAGAAGGCAGCTCTGCCTTGGCCTCGGACCGGCAGCAGAGACGGTGTAACTAGAAAACTGTTATTCTTCAAATTCCCTCTCACCCGAGCTTGATGAATCCTCACTCTCCCGGGAAGGCGGTTCGCGGCAAGTTTGACAAATTAACAGGACACATTCCGTCCTCGGTTCGATTTAGATTTAGGAGATTCGACATTTTATAAATTTGACTTCCATCTCATTTGATGTAAGACTCATAACAATATCTCTTTTAGACAGCAGGATACGTAAGGTCACTTTAATGGGTTTAATAATAATAAAAAAATTTTGAAAAAGACATCTATCTGGCCGGTGTGGCTCCGTGGTTGAGCACGGACCCACAAACCAGGAGGTCATGGTACGATTCCCAGTCAGGGGCACATGCCCAGGTTGTGGGCCCAGTCCCCAATGAGGGGCGTGCGGGAGGGAGGCAGCCGATCCATGATTCTCTCTCACCGCTCATGTTTCTCTCTCCTCCTCCCTCGCCCTGCCTCACGCTCTGAAATCAGGAAACACCTAGTATTTAAAACACAGCGCCCTCTCTAAAAATACCCCAAAGCGTGAATAATGCTGAACAGATGCGGAGTGCTGCCCACAGACCTGAGCAGGGGCCGTGTGGCGGCCTCCGGACGGGCAGGTGGTCCAGCCCGGGACGGGACCCGGGGCTGCGGTGTGGAGCCGGGAAACCTAACCTTCTCCTCCCGGCACAGAAGCTC